GGAGACACGGCGTGGTACAGGAGACACGGCGTGGTACGGGAGACATGGCGTGGTACGGGAGACACGGTGTGGTACAGGAGACACGGTGTAGGAGACACGGTGTGGTACAGGAGACACGGTGTAGGAGACATGGTACAGGAGACACGGCGTGGTACAGGAGACACAGCGTGGTACAGGAGACACGGTGTGGTACAGGAGACACGGTGTAGGAGACACGGTGTGGTACAGGAGACACGGTGTAGGAGACACGGGGTGGTACAGGAGACACGGCGTGGTACGGGAGACACGGCGTGGTACAGGAGACACGGCGTGGTACAGGAGACACGGCGTGGTACAGGAGACACGGTGTAGGAGACACGGTGTGGTACAGGAGACACGGTGTGGTACAGGAGACACGGTGTGGTACAGGAGACACGGTGTGGTACAGGAGACACGGCGTGGTACAGGAGACACGGCGTGGTACAGGAGACACGGTGTAGGAGACACGGTGTGGTACAGGAGACACGGTGTGGTACAGGAGACACGGTGTGGTACAGGAGACACGGTGTGGTACAGGAGACACGGCGTGGTACGGGAGACACGGTGTGGTACAGGAGACACGGTGTAGGAGACACGGTGTGGTACAGGAGACACGGTGTGGTACAGGAGACACGGTGTGGTACAGGAGACACGGCGTGGTACAGGAGACACGGTGTGGTACAGGAGACACGGCGTGGTACGGGAGACACGGTGTGGTACAGGAGACACGGTGTAGGAGACACGGTGTGGTACAGGAGACATGGTACAGGAGACACGGTGTGGTACAGGAGACACGGTGTGGTACAGGAGACACGGTGTAGGAGACACGGTGTGGTACAGGAGACACGGTGTGGTACGGGAGACACGGTGTGGTACAGGAGACACGGTGGGGTACAGGAGACACGTGTAGGAGACATGGTGTAGGAGACACGGTGTGGTACAGGAGACACGGTGTGGTACAGGAGACACGGTGTGGTACAGGAGACACGGTGTAGGAGACACGGTGTGGTACAGGAGACACGGTGTGGTACGGGAGACACGGTGTGGTACAGGAGACACGGTGTGGTACAGGAGACACGGTGTAGGAGACACGGTGTGGTACAGGAGACACGGTGTGGTACAGGAGACACGGTGTAGGAGACACGGTGTGGTACAGGAGACACGGTGTAGGAGACACGGTGTGGTACAGGAGACACGGTGTGGTACAGGAGACACGGTGTGGTACAGGAGACACGGCGTGGTACGGGAGACACGGTGTGGTACAGGAGACACGGTGTAGGAGACACGGTGTGGTACAGGAGACACGGTGTGGTACAGGAGACACGGTGTGGTACAGGAGACACGGCGTGGTACAGGAGACACGGTGTGGTACAGGAGACACGGCGTTGGTACGGGAGACACGGTGTGGTACAGGAGACACGGTGTAGGAGACACGGTGTGGTACAGGAGACACGGTGTAGGAGACACGGTGTGGTACAGGAGACACGGTGTGGTACAGGAGACACGGTGTAGGAGACACGGTGTGGTACAGGAGACACGGCGTGGTACAGGAGACACGGTGTGGTACGGGAGACACGGTGTGGTACAGGAGACATGGCGTGGTACAGGAGACACGGTGTGGTACGGGAGACACGGCGTGGTACGGGAGACACGGCGTAGTACAGGAGACACATTGTGGTACAGGAGACACGGTGTGGTACAGGAGACACGGTGTAGGAGACACGGTGTGGTACAGGAGACACGGTGTAGGAGACAAGGGGTGGTACAGGAGACACGGCGTGGTACAGGAGACACGGCGTGGTACAGGAGACACGGTGTAGGAGACACGGTGTGGTACAGGAGACACGGTGTGGTACAGGAGACACGGTGTGGTACAGGAGACACGGTGTGGTACAGGAGACACGGTGTGGTACAGGAGGACACGGTGTGGTACAGGAGACACGGTGTGGTACAGGAGACACGGTGTGGTACAGGAGACACGGTTGTTAGGAGACACGGTGTGGTACAGGAGACACGGTGTGGTACAGGAGACACGGCGTGGTACGGGAGACACGGTGTGGTACAGGAGACACGGCGTGGTACAGGAGACACGGTGTGGTACAGGAGACACGGCGTGGTACAGGAGACACGGTGTGGTACAGGAGACACGGTGTGGTACAGGAGACACGGTGTGGTACAGGAGACACGGTGTGGTACAGGAGACACGGCGTGGTACAGGAGACACGGTGTGGTACAGGAGACACGGTGTGGTACAGGAGACACGGTGTGGTACAGGAGACACGGTGTGGTACAGGAGACACGGTGTAGGAGACACGGTGTGGTACAGGAGACACGGTGTGGTACAGGAGACACGGTGTAGGAGACACGGTGTGGTACAGGAGACACGGTGTGGTACGGGAGACACGGCGTGGTACAGGAGACACGGCGTGGTACGGGAGACACGGCGTGGTACAGGAGACACGGTGTGGTACGGGAGACACGGTGTGGTACGGGAGACACGGTGTGGTACAGGAGACACGGCGTGGTACGGGAGACAGGGTGTGGTACAGGAGACACGGTGTAGGAGACACGGTGTGGTACAGGAGACACGGTGTAGGAGACATGGTACAGGAGACGCGGCGTGGTACAGGAGACACGGTGTAGGAGACACGGTGTGGTACAGGAGACACGGTGTAGGAGACATGGTACAGGAGACACGGCGTGGTACGGGAGACACGGCGTAGTACAGGAGACACATTGTGGTACAGGAGACACGGTGTGGTACAGGAGACACGGTGTAGGAGACACGGTGTGGTACAGGAGACACGGTGTAGGAGACACGGCGTGGTACAGGAGACACGGCGTGGTACAGGAGACACGGCGTGGTACGGGAGACACGGCGTGGTACAGGAGACACGGTGTGGTACGGGAGACACGGTGTGGTACAGGAGACACGGTGTAGGAGACACGGTGTGGTACAGGAGACACGGTACAGGAGACACGGTGTGGTACAGGAGACACGGTGTGGTACAGGAGACACGGTGTAGGAGACACGGTGTGGTACAGGAGACACGGTGTAGGAGACACGGTGTGGTACAGGAGACACGGTGTGGTACAGGAGACACGGTGTAGGAGACACGGTGTGGTACAGGAGACACGGTGTAGGAGACACGGTGTGGTACAGGAGACACGGTGTGGTACAGGAGACACGGTGTGGTACAGGAGACACGGTGTAGGAGACACGGTGTGGTACAGGAGACACGGTGTGGTACAGGAGACACGGTGTGGTACAGGAGACACGGTGTGGTACAGGAGACACGGTGTAGGAGACACGGTGTAGTACAGGAGACACGGCGTGGTACAGGAGACACGGCGTGGTACAGGAGACACGGCGTGGTACAGGAGACACGGTGTGGTACAGGAGACACGGTGTGGTACAGGAGACACGGTGTAGGAGACACGGTGTGGTACAGGAGACACGGTGTGGTACAGGAGACACGGCGTGGTACAGGAGACACGGTGTAGGAGACACGGTGTGGTACAGGAGACACGGCGTGGTACAGGAGACACGGTGTGGTACAGGAGACACGGTGTAGGAGACACGGTGTGGTACAGGAGACACGGTGTGGTACAGGAGACACGGCGTGGTACAGGAGACACGGTGTAGGAGACACGGTGTGGTACAGGAGACACGGCGTGGTACAGGAGACACGGTGTGGTACAGGAGACACGGTGTGGTACAGGAGACACGGTGTAGGAGACACGGCGTGGTACAGGAGACACGGTGTGGTACAGGAGACACGGTGTAGGAGACACGGTGTGGTACAGGAGACACGGTGTGGTACAGGAGACACGGTGTAGGAGACACGGTGTGGTACAGGAGACACGGTGTGGTACAGGAGACACGGTGTAGGAGACACGGTGTGGTACAGGAGACACGGTGTAGGAGACATGGCTTGGTACAGGAGACACGGTGTGGTACAGGAGACACGGTGTGGTACAGGAGACACGGTGTAGGAGGACACGGTGTGGTACAGGAGACACGGTGTGGTACAGGAGACACGGTGTGGTACAGGAGACACGGTGTGGTACAGGAGACACGGTGTGGTACAGGAGACACGGTGTAGGAGACACGGCGTGGTACAGGAGACACGGTGTGGTACAGGAGACACGGCGTGGTACAGGAGACACGGTGTAGGAGACACGGTGTGGTACAGGAGACACGGTGTGGTACAGGAGACACGGTGTGGTACAGGAGACACGGTGTGGTACAGGAGACACGGTGTAGGAGACACGGTGTGGTACAGGAGACACGGTGTGGTACAGGAGACACGGTGTAGGAGACACGGTGTGGTACAGGAGACACGGTGTGGTACGGGAGACACGGCGTGGTACGGGAGACACGGCGTGGTACAGGAGACACGGTGTAGGAGACACGGTGTGGTACAGGAGACACGGTGTAGGAGACACGGTGTGGTACAGGAGACACGGCGTGGTACGGGAGACACGGTGTGGTACAGGAGACACGGTGTGGTACGGGAGACACGGCGTGGTACAGGAGACACGGTGTAGGAGACACGGTGTGGTACAGGAGACACGGTGTGGTACAGGAGACACGGTGTGGTACAGGAGACATGGCGTGGTACAGGAGACACGGTGTAGGAGACACGGTGTGGTACAGGAGACACGGTGTGGTACAGGAGACACGGTGTAGGAGACACGGTGTGGTACAGGAGACACGGTTGTGGTACAGGAGACACGGTGTAGGAGACACGGTGTGGTACAGGAGACACGGTGTGGTACAGGAGACACGGTGTGGTACAGGAGACACGGTGTGGTACAGGAGACACGGTGTAGGAGACACGGTGTGGTACAGGAGACACGGCGTGGTACAGGAGACACGGTGTGGTACAGGAGACACGGTGTAGGAGACACGGTGTGGTACAGGAGACACGGTGTAGGAGACACGGTGTGGTACAGGAGACGCGTGCCGCCACGCTCACCGGCCAGCGGCGGGCCCAGCGTGGCCGAGACTCCATCCGCGAACAGCACCAGGCCGAAGGCTCGCGCCAGGCGAGGCGTCCCCACCAGGTCTCCGGTGACGCACGCCAGCAGCGAGAAGTAGCCGCTGGCGAAGCCGATGGCGGCGCACGCGCACGCCATGCCGGTGTAGCCGCCCAGCGCCGCCACGGGGAACAGGCCGATGGCGAGCCCCAGGGCCGCGTTGGTGGCCACAAAGAGGCCCCACGTGTCCACGTGGGGGACGTCGCTCAGAGCGCCCAGCGACACCTGCGGTAGGGCGCGCGCCGTTTTAAACGTCGCCCCCCCAAACCCACGGGGGAGAGACAAAGGCGGCCGAGAGTGGCGCTGGCACCAACACCAACACCACCCCACCCCCCCCCCCGTGTGCCACGGAAGGCTTCTTGCCCCTACAGCCTGGTAGAGGCTACACGGGGGATCTTTGTCTGTGTATAGGTGCTGCAAATCGCTGCTAACAGCACTTGCCCCTACAGCCTGTTAGAGGCTACACGGCGGATCTTTGTCTGTGTGTGTGTCACTGTGTTTGTATAGGGGTTAGTGTGTGTCTGTGTGTGTGTATCTGTGTGTGTGTCTGTGTGTGTGTGTCTGTGTGTGTGTCCGGCAAAACAACCCCCTACCTCCTCGCGGTGCCGGACGGGCAACTCTGTCGTGGACAGCGCTGTGGGGGGAGATCCAATTTTGATTGGCTCCTCCCCTCATGGCATATGTGTCCACCACAGGGGCTAAACGGGGGCTCTGGACGGGTGCGAGGGGCTGGTAACCCCTCCACCTTCAATTAATTACCACGAAACTACGAATTAAACTGAAATATGTAACAACTAAGCTTGTGCCGGAGGCCCCGGGGGGCCAGGCGTCTATGACGTCTCCTGGCCAAACCCCAATTGGCGGAGCCAGGAGATTGAATACCTACCCTCGGGGCTACTCCAGAAACAACGAAAAGCCACTACGGTTGGCCACGTGGAATGTTCGAACGCTCACTGCAGAGGAGAGGCTGCCACTCCTCTGTCGGGAGCTGGACCGGTACCGCCTGGATCTATGCGGCATTCAGGAGGTCCGGTGGACCGGCTCTGGCTCCTGCCACCATGAGGGGTGGACAGTCCTCTACTCGGGGCAGCAGACTGCCAAACAACAGGGTGTGGGTCTTCTTTTGAACAAAGAATGAAGGGGGCGTGGGAGCGTGGCGGTGAGGTGTGGGAAACTGTAAGCCCCAGGCTACTTTGGGCTCGCCTTCCCATCAACCGGAGGCGAGGAATGGTGGTCGTGGTTACTTATGCCCCCACCGAAGATGAACATCCGTGAAGGGATGCAGGCAAAGCCGATGAGTCAGATGCATCTCACTCCTCAGTGTGCCGGGAAAGGTCCTGGCAAGGATTATTCAGCATCGCCTTGCCAGGCACGCTGAGGAGAGGCTTGCGGAGCCCCAATGCGGTTTCAGGAAAGGGCGGTCCTGCACAGATGCCATATTTTCTGTCCGTCTGCTACAGCAGAGGTGTAGGGAATTCCAACAAGACCTACATCTCTGCTTTATTGACCTGGTCAAGGCCTATGATACCATCAGTAGGCCTGGGCTCTGGGTCGTTCTTCGTGCTTTTGGAGTACCTGACCCTCTGCTCACGATCATTAAGGACCTTCATGATGGTGAGCGGGCCCGGGTAAAACTACGTGGCCGGGAGTCAGAGCCATTCCCTGTACACCTTGGGGTGCGACAGGGATGTCCTCTGGCTCCCACATTATTTAACATCTATTTTGACCACGTAGTTCGTGAAGCCTTCAATAGCTGTACCGGGGGAATCTCCATATGGTACAGATATAATGGGAGGCTAATCGATGCCCGGGTGCGGTCAAGGGATGGCTCCCTATTGCTCAACCACGTTATGTATGCTGATGACTTGGTAATAGCTGCTCAGTCAGAGGAGGAGTTGGAGACGCTGCTGCTGAGACTGGAGCGTGCCACTAAGAGGTGGGGCCTTACCATCAGCCCCACCAAAACTAAGCACCTGCCTGGGTATTTTGTACCATCAGACACTCCACCCCCACAACTCCCAATCGGTGATGGGGCAGTTGTGGAGAGAGTGGAGAGTTTCCCATACCTGGGCAGTGTGCTTATGACTGGCTCCAGTTTAACAGCAGAGGTCTCACTCCGAATCAGTCGAGTGGCAATATCTTTTCATCGGTTGCGTAACGCTGTGTGGAAGCTACCTGGTCTGTCGCTCCGCACTAAGCTTCAGGTCTTCTCGGCCACGGTCATTCCCTCCCTTCTCTACGCTTGCGAAACGTGGACCCCCCTAATGGAACATCTTCGCCGGTTAGAAACATTTAGGCTGGCCTGCCTACGATCCATCCTGGGTTTAACCAGACTGGATTGTGTGAGGAGCTCACAAATCCTTGAAAGATCTGGGCGATGGCTGGGTCATGTAGCCCGCATGCCCAGCCACCGCATGCTGAAACAGCTTTTGTCTGGCCGGATGGAGGGGGCTAAGCGGGCGGGGCACGGGCTAGAGAAGAGATGGAGTGATGTGGTACAGGAGGACGTGGAGCTGAGTGGACTTGCCGATGACTGGTACCAGCGGTGTCAAGATCGGCCTCTGTGGAGTGGGCTCGTGAAGGACGCTACTGGGCAGTTGGAGGCAGTCGCCCTCCAACAACAACGGAGGGTGGAGGAGCGACGCTCACAACAACGAGCGGAGCGCCGGGTGGCTAAAGCGCAGCAGGTTGGCACAGTAGGGGGCACAGGTGTGCATCAGCCAGTCATCTCAGTCAGTCGACCCGTGGCACCTGGGTTTGCCCCGTGACCTCCTGCCAGCGGGCGTTCGACACTTCACGTGGCCTCAAGGTGCACATGGCCTGGCACAAGCGTCGTGGTGACGTCACCGCCACTTAGTGGCGAATGGCGGTAGCAGCGCTACAACTGTAGCAGCAGCGCTGCTACCGCGCTACTACTACTACTTACTACCGCAGTGGTAGCGCACAGCGCTTGCCCCAACAGCTCGTTCAGGTTACACGCGGGGGGGGGTCTTTGTCTTGTTACCCCCCTACCCCCCCCCCCGTGAACCCCCCACCCACCTTGCCCCCCCCCGTGCCCCCCCCCCCCCCCCCGCCCCGTGCCCCCCCCCACCCACCTTGCCCAGCATGTGCAGCACGCCGATGATGGAGGTGAGGGCAAAGCGCTCGTTCTGGGCGCCGTAGCCGGCCAGCGCCACCATCTCGGGCAGGTGGACGAAGGGAACCACGAAGCTGCAGTAGGTGCACAGCGCCCACAGCAGGAACGCGACAAAGAAGCGGTTCGCAAACACGCCGCCGGTGACGCCGGTGACGCCGGTGACGCCGGTGGCGCCGGTGACGCCGGTGACGCCGGTGACGCCGGTGACGCCGCCGGTGCCTTCCCGTGGTGGCGGCGGCGGCGGCGATGGAGGTGGCGACCGTGGCGACCGTAGCGATGCCGGTGCCCGCAGTGGTGGTGGCGACGGTGGCGCTGCTGGTGATACCGGTGGTGGTGATACCGGTGGTGGTGGTGATACCGGTGGTGGTGGTGCTGCTGCTGGTGGTGATACCGGTGGTGGTGGTGCTGCTGCTGGTGGTGATACCGGTGGTGGCGATGCCGGCGATGCCAGTGCCCGCAGTGGTGGTGGCGACGGTGGCGCTGCTGGTGGTGGTGATGCCGGTGGCGGCGATGCCGGTGGTGATGCCGGCACGGGGCCCTGCCGCCGCACCCTGCTCGTCCTCCGCCGGCTCTCCGCCTCCGGTGCCGGTGGCTCGGCACCACGGACGGCCGACGAGGGGTAGGGGAGGAGGGGGAGGAGGGGGACGGCCGATGGATCCGGCGGCGCCGGGCGATGCTGCCGGCGACTGTCGCCGTCGTCGGCGTTGGATAGCGGTGCCGGGAGGCGGCCACCGTTGCCACGGTCGCCGTGGCTGTCACCACGCTCGCCGTGGCCGTCGTGAGGTTTGTCCGGGCCGCCGGAATTGTCACCGCACCGGGCCACGAACTCCGTGCCGAGTCCGACGGCCGAACCGCCGTCGCCGCCGCCGCCGCCGCCAAAAACTTCCCCGCTGTAGACGATGCGGGCGGAGCGAAACCTCCCTCCCAACTCCTCCCCCTCCTCCTCCGTGTCGTACCACCACCCCTCCTTACCGGCACCGGCGCCGGCGCCGCCGCCGGTGCCGGCGGGCAGCGGGCGCAAGAGCGCGGCGCAAGCGCAGAGGTTGAGGCTGATGCCGGAGCTGACGAGCATGGCGCCGCGCCAGCCGTAGGCGGCGCCCAGCGCCTGCAGGGCCACGTTGGCGAGGAAGGTGCCGGCGCCGGTGCCCGTCGTGCTCAGCCCCTGCGCCAGCGCCCGCCGGCGACGCTGGAAGTACTGCCCAACAGCCACCACGGCGGGCAGGTAGGAGAGGCCCATGCCGATACCTGGGTGGTGGTGGTGGAGCGGGGGGGGAGGAGGTGGGTGGGTGGGTGGGTGAGTGAGTGGGTGGGTGGGTGGGTGGCTAGCTGTGTGGGTGGGTGGCTAGCTGTGTGGGTGGGTGAGTGGCTGGGTGGGTGAGTGAGTGGCTGGGTGAGTGAGTGACTAGCTGGGTGGGTGGCTAGCTGGATGGGTGGCTAGCTGGGTAGGTGAGTGAGTGGCTGGGTGGGTGGGTGACTAGCTGGGTGAGTGGCTGGCTGGGTGAGTGAGTGAGTGGCTGGGTGGGTGAGTGAGTGAGTGAGTGGCTGGGTGGGTGGGTGGGTGACTAGCTGGGTGGGTGGGTGGCTGGGTGAGTGAGTGAGTGAGTGGCTGGGTGACTGTTTGCTGGGTTAGGTGACTGGCGATGCAGTGACAATTGGCGATGAGGTGACTGCCTGCCTGACTGGGTGACTGATTGCCTGCCTGGGTGACTGACGAGGTGACTGACGAGGTGACTGCCTGCCTGACTGCCTGCCTGACTGGGTGACTGACGAGGTGACTGACGAGGTACCCCGGGTCCGCTCACCTCCCAGAATGCCGAAGGACAGCAACAGGAAGTGGATGCTCTGAGCGAAGGCGCTGAGGCCCCAGGAGGCGGCCGTGATGACCCCGCCCACTAAGGCCACGGGGCGACAGCCATAGCGGTCCACGAGGTGACCAGCCAGAGGGCCTGACACACACAGTGACACACACAGTGACACACACACACAGTGACACACACAGTGACACACACAGTGACACACACAGTGACACACACACACAGTGACACACACACAGTGACACACACACAGTGACACACACAGTGACACACACAGTGACACACACAGTGACACACACAGTGACACACACAGTGACACACACAGTGACACACACACAGTGACACACACAGTGACACACACACAGTGACACACACACAGTGACACACACACAGTGACACACACACAGTGACACACACAGTGACACACACAGTGACACACACAGTGACACACACACACAGTGACACACACACACAGTGACACACACACACAGTGACACACACAGTGACACACACAGTGACACACACACAGTGACACACACACAGTGGCACACACAGTGGCACACACACAGTGACACACACAGTGACACACACACAGTGACACACACACAGTGACACACAGTGACACACACACAGTGACACACACAGTGACACACACAGTGACACACACACAGTGACACACACAGTGACACACACAGTGACACACACAGTGACACACACAGTGACACACACACAGTGACACACACACAGTGACACACACAGTGACACACACAGTGACACACACACAGTGACACACAAAGTGACACACACACACTGACACACACAGTGACACACAGTGACACACACACACAGTGACACACACAGTGGCACACACAGTGGCACACACAGTGACACACACAGTGACACACACACAGTGACACACACACAGTGACACACACAGTGGCACACACAGTGGCACACACAGTGACACACACACAGTGACACACACACAGTGACACACAGTGACACACACACAGTGACACACACAGTGACACACACAGTGACACACACAGTGACACACACACAGTGACACACACAGTGACACACACAGTGACACACACACAGTGACACACACAGTGACACACACACAGTGACACACACACAGTGACACACACAGTGACACACACACAGTGACACACACACACAGTGACACACACACACAGTGACACACACAGTGACACACACAGTGACACACAGTGACACACACACAGTGACACACACAGTGACACACACAGTGACACACACACACACAGTGACACACACACACACAGTGACACACACACACACAGTGACACACACACACAGTGACACACACAGTGACACACACAGTGACACACACACACACAGTGACACACACAGTGACACACACAGTGACACACACACAGTGACACACACAGTGACACACACACAGTGACACACACAGTGACACACACACAGTGACACACACAGTGACACACACACAGTGACACACACACAGTGACACACACACAGTGACACACACAGTGACACACACACAGTGACACACACAGTGACACACACACACAGTGACACACACACACAGTGACACACACAGTGACACACACAGTGACACACACACAGTGACACACACAGTGACACACACAGTGACACACACACAGTGACACACACACAGTGACACACACAGTGACACACACAGTGACACACACAGTGACACACACACACACAGTGACACACACAGTGACACACACAGTGACACACACACACAGTGACACACACACACACAGTGACACACACAGTGACACACACACAGTGACACACACAGTGACACACACAGTGACACACACACACACAGTGACACACACACACACAGTGACACACACAGTGACACACACAGTGACACACACAGTGACACACACAGTAACACACACACACAGTGACACACACACAGTGACACACACAGTGACACACACAGTGACACACACACACACAGTGACACGCACAGTGACACACACACAGTGACACACACAGTGACACACACAGTGACACACACACAGTGACATACACACACAGTGACACACACAGTGACACACACACAGTGACACACACAGTGACACACACAGTGACACACACAGACACACACAGTGACACACACAGTGACACACACAGTGACACACAGTGACACACACACACAGTGACACACACAGTGACACACACAGTGACACACACACAGTGACACACACAGTGACACACACACAGTGACACACACACACAGTGACACACACAGTGACACACACAGTGACACACACACACACACAGTGACACACACAGTGACACACACACACACAGTGACACACACAGTGACACACACACACACAGTGACACACACACAGTGACACACACAGTGACACACACACACACAGTGACACACACAGTGACACACACAGTGACACACACACACACACAGTGACACACACAGTGACACACACACAGTGACACACACACAGTGACACACACACAGTGACACACACACACACAGTGACACACACACACACAGTGACACACACAGTGACACACACACAGTGACACACACACAGTGACACACACACACAGTGACACACACACAGTGACACACACAGTGACACACACACACAGTGACACACACAGTGACACACACACACAGTGACACACACAGTGACACACACAGTGACACACACACAGTGACACACAGTGACACACACAGTGACACACACAGTGACACACACACAGACACACACAGTGACACACACAGTGACACACACACACAGTGACACAGTGACACACACACACAGTGACACACACAGTGACACACACACACAGTGACACACACAGTGACACACACACACAGTGAAACACAGTGACACACACAGTGACACACACACACAGTGACACAGTGACACACACACAGTGACACACACAGTGACACACACAGTGACACACACACACACAGTGACACACAGTGACACACACACAGTGACACACACACACACAGTGACACACACACAGTGACACACACAGTGACACACACACAGTGAGACACACAGTGACACACACACACAGTGACACACACACACAGTGACACACACACAGTGACACACACAGTGACACACACACAGTGAGACACACAGTGACACACACACACAGTGACACACACACACAGTGACACACACACAGTGACACACACAGTGACACACACAGTGACACACACACACAGTGACACACACACAGTGACACACACAGTGACACACACACAGTGACACACAGTGACACACAGTGACACACACACACAGTGACACACACACAGTGACACACACAGTGACACACACACACAGTGACACACACAGTGACACACACACACAGTGACACACACACAGTGACACACACAGTGACACACAGTGACACACACACAGTGACACACACAGTGACACACAGTGACACACAAACACACAGACACACAGTGACACACACAGACACACAGTGACACACAAACACACAGACACACAGTGACACACACACACACACAGTGACACACACAGACACACACAGTGACACACAAACACACAGACACACAGACACACACAGTGACACACAGACACACACAGTGGCATACAGACACACAGTGACACACACAGTGACACACACAGTGACACACAGTGACACACACACAGTGACACACACAGTGACACACAGTGACACACACACAGTGACACACACAGTGACACACAGTGACACACACACAGTGACACACACAGTGACACACACACAGTGACACACACACACACTGACACACACACAGTAACACACACACAGTGACACACACAGTGACACACACAGTGACACACACACAGTGACACACACAGTGACACACACAGTGACACACACACAGTGACACACACACACAGTGACACAACAACAACAACAACCGCCATTCACCACTAAGTGGCGGTGACGTCACCACGACGCTTGTGTCAGGCTATGTGCACCCTGAGGCCACGTGAAGTGTCGAACGCCCGCTGGCAGGAGGTCACGGGGCAGACCCAGGTGCCACGGGTCGACTGACTGAGATGACTGGCTGATGCACCACCTGTGCCCCCTACTGTGCCAACCTGCTGTGCTTTAGCCACCCGGCGCTCCGCTCGCTGTTGTGAGCGTCGCTCCTCCGCCCTCCGTTGTTGTTGGAGGGCGACTGCCTCCAACTGCCCAGTAGCGTCCTTCACGAGCCTCCTCCACAGAGGTCGATCTTGACACCGCTGGTACCAGTCATCGGCAAGTCCACTCAGCTCCACGTCCTCCTGTACCACATCACTCCATTTCTTCTCTAGCCCGTGCCGCGCCCGCTGAGCCCCCTCAATCCGGCCGAACAAAAGCTGTTTCAGCATGCGGTGGCTGGGCATGCGGGCTACATGACCCAGCCATCGCAGCCTTGCCCGCCGGAGGAGCTCACCGATGGGACCTTGCCCAGATCTTTCAAGAATTTGTGAGCTCCTCACACAATCCAGCCTGGTTAAACCCAGGATGGATCGTAGGCAGGCCAGCCTAAATGTTTCCAACTGGCGAAGATGTTCCATTAGGGGGGTCCACGTTTCGCAAGCGTAGAGGAGGGAATGACCGTGGCCGAGAAGAACTGAAGCTTAGTGCGGAGCGACAGACCAGGTAGCTTCCACAGCGTTACACAACCGATGAAAAGATATTGCCGCTCGACTGATTCGGAGTGAGACCTCTGCTGTTAAACTGGAGCCGGTCATAAGCACACTGCCCAGGTATGGGAAACTCTCCACTCTCTCCACAACTGCCCCATCACCGATTGGGAGTTGTGGGGGTGGAGTGTCCGATGGTACAAAATACCCAGGCAGGTGCTTAGTTTTGGTGGGGCTGATGGTAAGGCCCCATCTCTTAGTGGCACGCTCCAGTCTCAGCAACAGCGTCTCCAACTCCTCCTCTGAATGAGCAGCTATTACCAAATCATCGGCATACATAACGTGGTTGAGCAATAGGGAGCCATCCCTTGACCGCACCCGGGCATCGATCAGCCTCCCATTATATCTGTACCATATGGAGATTCCCCCGGTACAGCTATTGAAGGCTTCACGAACTACGTGGTCAAAATAGATGTTAAATAATGTGGGAGCCAGAGGACATCCCTGTCGCACCCCAAGGTGTACAGGGAATGGCTCTGACTCCCGGCCACGTAGTTTTACCCGGGCCCGCTCACCATCATGAAGGTCCTTAATGATCGTGAGCAGAGGGTCAGGTACTCCAAAAGCACGAAGAACGACCCAGAGCCCAGGCCTACTGATGGTATCATAGGCCTTGACCAGGTCAATAAAGCAGAGATGTAGGTCTTGTTGGAATTCCCTACACCTCTGCTGTAGCAGACGGACAGAGAATATGGCATCTGTGCAGGACCGCCCTTTCCTGAAACCGCATTGGGGCTCCGCAAGCCTCTCCTCAGCGTGCCTGGCAAGGCGATGTTGAATAATCCTTGCAAGGACCTTTCCCGGCACACTGAGGAGTGAGATGCCCCTGTAGTTGTTACAGTCTGTGCGGTCCCTCTTCTTAAAAAGGGGGACCACCAGGGCATCCTTCCAATCCTGCGGAACTCGTCCAGTGGTCCAGACTGTTGTTATGATGTCATATAGGGCAGTCTGTGCACAAACGCCACCCTCCCTCAGCATTTCGCTTGGGAGATTACCCCCAGCACACCACACCCACCACCCCCACCACCCCCACCACACCACCACACCACCACACTCACCCAGCACACCACCCCCAGCACACCACCCCCACCACCAGACTCACCCACCACACCACCAGACTCACCCACCACACCACCCACACCACCCCCACCACCCCCACCACACCACCAGACTCACCACACTCACCCTCCACACCACTCACACCACACCAACCCCACCACACCACCAGACTCACCCACCACACCACCCCCACCACACCACCACCAGACTCACCCACCACCAGCGTGACGCCCATGGACAGGGAGCCAACCCAGGCGGTCGTTCCTCTGCTGGCCCCGAACTCCTGGAGCCAGGCCACGTTGAGGACTCCCACGGCCATCTGGAAGCCGAGCGTGAGGACGTGGATCCAGAAGGAGGAGAAGACCACCACCCACCCCCACGTGGCACACGCCTCCTCATCCTCATCCTCCTCATCCTCATCCTGCTCCAACCTCCTCCTCCTCCTCCACGACGAGGAGGAGGAGGAGGAGGCATCGTCGTAGTCTCCTCCTCGTCGCTTGCGGTGAGCAGCGCTGTGGGGTCCGTGCGGACGGAGGATGTCACCGCCTCTGCTGTCTCCACCGTGGCCACCACCACCACCACCGCTCCTGCCCCCGCCGTGCCCACCACCACCACCACCACCACCGCCATCGTCGTCGTCTTCGTCGTCTTCGCCGCCGTCAGCATCGCGGGCGTCCAGCGGGGCGAGGTGAGGTCCACACACACCCATGGTCAGCCGGCGGTGGTGGTGGTGGTGCTGGTGCTGCTGATGATGATGGTGCTGCTGCTGATGATGATGGTGGTGCTGCTGATGATGATGATGGTGGTGCTGCTGCTGGTGGTGATGATGGTGCTGCTGCTGATGATGATGGTGGTGCTGCTGATGATGGTGCTGGTGGTGCTGCTGCTGGTGGTGATGATGGTGCTGCTGCTGATGATGATGGTGGTGCTGCTGATGATGGTGCTGGTGGTGCTGCTGCTGGTGGTGATGATGGTGCTGCTGCTGGTGGTGATGATGGTGCTGCTGCTGATGATGATGATGGTGGTGGTGCTGCTGATGATGATGCTGTTTTGAGACGCTGCAAAAGATGAAAGGGTGCATGAGGTTGGGATGTGGATCACACACAAAGACAAAGGTAGCCCTAGGTAGCTCACACAGACAGCTGGGGCAAGGGCTCTCATCTCACGTGACATGACACAAAGACAAAGGTAGCCCTAGGTAGCTCACACAGACAGCTGGGGCAAGGGCTCTCATCTCACGTGACATGACACAAAGACAAAGGTAGCCCCAGGTAGCTCACACAGACAGCTGGGGCAAGGGCTCTCATCTCACGTGACATGACACAAAGACAAAGGTAGTCCCAGGTAGCTCACACAGACAGCTGGGGCAAGGGCTCTCATCTCACGTGACATGACACAAAGACAAAGGTGGTCCCAGGTAGCCTGCAAGTGGAGAGGCCGCATGCTGGGACCTCTGGGCCGGTAAATGAGTGATCCGGTTAACCGCCGGGAGGAGTTGGGCCGGTTAATGAGTATCGGTGGGGTCCACCGGGGCAGCGCGTTGCCTCGCGGAGACGCGGCACAGAGGCCCGGCACGCTGAGGGCCTGGGTTCGAGCCCTGGGTCTGGGTGCCTCTCAGGGGGTTCACGATGGCCGTGTCAGAGACACTGAGAGTCTGGGTTCAAGCCCTGGGTCTGGGTGTCTCTCTCTCTCAGGGGGTTCACAGTGGCCGTGTCAGAGACACTGAGAGTCTGGGTTCAAGCCCTGGGTCTGGGTGTCTCTCTCTCTCTCTCAGGGGGTTCACGATGGCCGTGTCAGAGACACTGAGAGTCTGGGTTAGAGCCCTGGGTCTGGGTGTCTCTCAGGGGGTTCACGATGGCCGTGTCAGAGACACTGAGAGTCTGGGTTCGAGCCCTGGGTCTGGGTGTCTCTCTCTCAGGGGGTTCACGATGGCCGTGTCAGAGACACTGAGAGTCTGGGTTAGAGCCCTGGGTCTGGGTGTCTCTCTCTCTCAGGGGGTTCACAATGGCCGTGTCAGAGACACTGAGAGTCTGGGTTAGAGCCCTGGGTCTGGGTGTCTCTGTCTCTCAGGGGGTTCACGATGGCCGTGTCAGAGACACTGAGAGTCTGGGTTCAAGCCCTGGGTCTGGGTGTCTCTCTCTCTCAGGGGGTTCACGATGGCCGTGTCAGAGACACTGAGAGTCTGGGTTAGAGCCCTGGGTCTGGGTGTCTCTCTCTCTCAGGGGGTTCACAATGGCCGTGTCAGAGACACTGAGAGTCTGGGTTAGAGCCCTGGGTCTGGGTGTCTCTGTCTCTCAGGGGGTTCACGATGGCCGTGTCAGAGACACTGAGAGTCTGGGTTCTAGCCCTGGGTCTGGGTGTCTCTCAGGGGGTTCACAATGGCCGTGTCAGAGACACTGAGAGTCTGGGTTCTAGCCCTGGGTCTGGGTGTCTCTCAGGGGGTTCACAATGGCCGTGTCAGAGACACGGAGGGCCCTGGGTTAGAGCCCTGGGTCTGGGTGTCTCTCAGGGGGTTCACAATGGCCAGGTCGGAGACACGGAGGGCCCTGGGTTAGACTCCTGGGTCTGGGTGTCTCTCAGGGGGTTCAGAATGGTCGTGTCAGAGACACTGAGAGCCTGGGTTAGAGCCCTGGGTCTGGGTGTCTCTCTCTCTCAGGGGGTTCACAATGGCCGTGTCAGAGACACTGAGAGTCTGGGTTCGAGCCCTGGGTCTGGGTGTCTCTCAGGGGGTTCACAATGGCCGTGTCAGAGACACTGAGAGTCTGGGTTAGAGCCCTGGGTCTGGGTGTCTCTCTCTCTCAGGGGGTTCACAATGGCCGTGTCAGAGACACTGAGAGTCTGGGTTAGAGCCCTGGGTCTGGGTGTCTCTGTCTCTCAGGGGGTTCACAATGGCCGTGTCAGGGACACTGAGAGTCTGGGTTAGAGCCCTGGGTCTGGGTGTCTCTCAGGGGGTTCACAATGGCCGTGTCAGGGACACTGAGAGTCTGGGTTAGAGCCCTGGGTCTGGGTGTCTCTCTCTCTCTCTCAGGGGGTTCACAATGGCCGTGTCAGAGACACTGAGAGTCTGGGTTCAAGCCCTGGGTCTGGGTGTCTCTCTCTCTCAGGGGGTTCACAATGGCCGTGTCAGAGACACTGAGAGCCTGGGTTAGAGCCCTGGGTCTGGGTGTCTCTCTCTCTCAGGGGGTTCACGATGGCCGTGTCAGAGACACTGAGAGTCTGGGTTAGAGCCCTGGGTCTGGGTGTCTCTCAGGGGGTTCACAATGGCCGTGTCAGAGACACTGAGAGTCTGGGTTAGAGCCCTGGGTCTGGGTGTCTCTCTCTCAGGGGGTTCACAGTGGCCGTGTCAGAGACACTGAGAGTCTGGGTTCTAGCCCTGGGTCTGGGTGTCTCTCTCTCTCAGGGGGTTCACGATGGCCGTGTCAGAGACACTGAGAGTCTGGGTTCAAGCCCTGGGTCTGGGTGTCTCTCTCTCTCTCTCAGGGGGTTCACGATGGCCGTGTCAGAGACACTGAGAGTCTGGGTTAGAGCCCTGGGTCTGCGTGTCTCTCAGGGGGTTCACGATGGCCGTGTCAGAGACACTGAGAGTCTGGGTTGGAGCCATGGGTCTGGGTGTCTCTCTCAGGGGGTTCACAGTGGTCGTGTCAGAGACACTGAGAGTCTTGGGTTCTAGCCCTGGGTCTGGGTGTCTCTCTCTCTCAGGGGGTTCACGATGGCCGTGTCAGAGACACTGAGAGCCTGGGTTCAAGCCCTGGGTCTGGGTGTCTCTGTCTCTCAGGGGGTTCACGATGGCCGTGTCAGAGACACTGAGAGCCTGGGTTCAAGCCCTGGGTCTGGGTGTCTCTGTCTCTCAGGGGGTTCACGATGGCCGTGTCAGAGACACTGAGAGTCTGGGTTCTAGCCCTGGGTCTGGGTGTCTCTCTCTCTCTCTCAGGGGGTTCACGATGGCCGTGTCAGAGACACTGAGAGTCTGGGTTGGAGCCATGGGTCTGGGTGTCTCTCTCAGGGGGTTCACAATGGCTGTGTCAGAGACACTGAGAGCCTGGGTTCAAGCCCTGGGTCTGGGTGTCTCTGTCTCTCAGGGGGTTCACGATGGCCGTGTCAGAGACACTGAGAGCCTGGGTTCAAGCCCTGGGTCTGGGTGTCTCTCTCTCTCAGGGGGTTCACGATGGCCGTGTCAGAAACACTGAGAGTCTGGGTTAGAGCCCTGGGTCTGGGTGTCTCTCTCTCTCTCTCAGGGGGTTCACAATGGCCGTGTCATAGACCCTGTGGGTGGGCGAGTGGGTAGTTGAGAGAGTGAGTAGGTGGGTGAGTGAGTGTGTAAGTGAGTGTGTGAGTGAGTGTGTCAGTGGGTAGGTGAGAGAGTGAGTGTGTGAGTTGGTAGTTTAGCGAGTAGGTGGATGAGTGAGTGTATGACTCACTAGGTGAGAGAGTGGGTGGGTGGGTGAGCTAGTGGGTGAGCGACTGTGTGAGTGAGAGTGAGTAGGTGGGTGAGTGAGTGTGTGAGCGAGTGTGTGAGCGAGTGTGTGAGTGTGTGAGTGGGTAGGTGAGTGAGTGTGTGAGCGAGTGTGTGAGTGAGTGTGTAAGTGGTTAGGTGAGAGAGTGAGTGTGTGAGCGAGTGTGTGAGCGAGTGTGTGAGTGAGTGTGTGAGTGGGTAGGTGAGTGAGTGTGTGATCGAGTGTGTGAGTGAGTGTGTAAGTGGTTAGGTGAGAGAGTGAGTGTGTGAGTGGGCAGTTGAGAAAGTGAGTAGGTGGGTGAGTGTATGACCAAGTGGTTAGGAGAGTGGGTGTGTGAGTGTGTGAGTGGGTCGGTGAGAGAGTGGGTGAGCTAGTGTTTACGTGAGTGTGTTTGTGAGTGTGTGAGTGAGTGTGTGAGTGAGTGTGTGAGTGAGTGGGTGTGTGGGTGTGTGGGTGTGAATGAGTGTGTGTGAGCGAGTGTGTGTGTGAGTGTGTGAGCGAGTGTGTGAGAGAGTGTGTGACTGAGTGAGTGGCCATTAACGTGCCATGAAGAAGAGCCTTTGCCTGAAACGTCGCCTATTATATATTTAATCCTCTGAAGGCCCCCCCCACACAAACACACACACGAGTCATCACCACCATCACCATCATCACCACCATCACCACCTTTATCATCATTAATCATCAGCAGCAGCAGCAGAGCGGAAAAAATAAATGAAGTGGCTTAACCCCCCAACCCCCCCAAAGACACAAAGGCTAAAGGTCCCCCAGGTAGCCTCTAACAGGCTGTAGGGGCAAGTGCTGTTAGCGAGTAGTAGCACCTATACACAGACAAAGATCCCCCGTGTAGCCTCTAACAGGCTGTAGGGGCAAGTGCTGTTAGCGAGTAGTAGCACCTATACACAGACAAAGATCCCCCGTGTAGCCTCTAACAGGCTGTAGGGGCAAGTGCTGTTAGCGAGCAGCAGCTGTGAAGGCTACCGGCACTGTGGCACACGAGGGGGTGGGTGGCCAGCACCACGCCCGGCCGCCTTTGTCTCCCCAGTGACGATGTTTACTACACAGCGCTACACCAGGTACTCATTTGAGGCTGGGTCGACCTAGGGGAGGTCCAGGACCGGTTCAGATAATCGTCACTGGCGGTGGCCGTGAGCGTTAACCGCTGCACCACCGCTCCCAAGACACACACAGACTCGTATACACACAAAACACATACATAACACACACATACACACCACATACACACACAACACACACACACACACAATATACACAACACACATACACACACACACCACACATACAACACACACACACCACACATACAACACAAACACACCACATACACACACCACACCACATAC